AAGGGGCCAAAGTTCTTAGAAGTGAGCTTTTGCAGTGTAATTTATCAGTAAGTTTAATCCCTGAATAACCTTTTTCTTTCAGAACTTTTGGGCACAGTTGACTTTGTGCTCACTGATGGAACAGTTGTGTTTAGGACGTGTGAGGCAGAGAAACAGAATGTTGTCTTTCAAATGGTTTGTACAACCTTCTAATTACCTGTCTGAGTTTTTAACAAACTTTTAGAAAAATGAGTACATCTATAAGTTAGCAGGTGGAGAACTGATTACTCGCAACAAATACCTTTATGTTCAAAACAAAAAAAACAAAAGGGTGGCCATGATGCAGTTGTGCATGTTATGAGAAACTTGTGAGCTTAAATCTTGTTTATAGATCTAGTAAACTAGACTCTGCATTGGTGAGTCAGTGGTGCAAGTCCTGACTAGGTCTCTGTGCTGTGTGCTTGGGCAAGGCAGTGTACAATCAAATTGGTTCCATCCACTCAGGAGTATAAATAGGTGTTTGCATATTGTCCAGGAAAGATAAAAAAGCGTAAAGTCAGCTCTCAAGCCAATTGGCTCATCCAGCCAGAGCTTATTACAGTTTCAGTGAGGTAAAGCATCCACTCCCCCTGGATGGGATGCTAGTTCCCATGCATTTCTTCAGCTTTCCCTGACAGTTCATCTGTACCTATTGATACTCCTGGGTGAAGCGAGGCACCTTGTGAGTAGTGACCAGCCACATCTCAAACCCAAACCTCTGGACCTACACTGTACAGTCCACATATTTAACCATTAATCCTCCAACCAACTTTCTAAATTCCAATTTGACTTGCAAACATTGGATAAGAAGAGCTACCTCATGGAATGTTAGACTTCTAAATCCCATTTCTTTTATTTTTATTTGTTTTATCCACTTGTCTCCACATACTGTAAGAGAACCTGACAAAATTCTTGGGGCTAACAATGGATGAGGAGCCCATCTTGAAGGAGTGGCAATATACCATGTGCCTCTGTGCTGTGTAAAAATGAGGATAGGCACTGTTCCTGTACATGTACCAGCAATTGTAAAATGTGTCTTTCAATATTGAAAATATGTTAAATATTATAATTATATAACTTGCTATCATGTGATACTGTTTACTTCTGTTTGTTGCATTTGCATAAGGTGTGAACTGGTTCTTGTATCAACCATTGATACACAGCCACAGGCTGTGGTTGACACATTTTGTGTTTTCTTAGGGCACAGCAGACCCAGAGAGAGCCTTGAAAGTTGCAAAACTCTTGTAAGTCACTGTTATACTGTTATGGTCATTCAAATTACACAGTCAGACAATGTTTTAAAACTTACTGTTCTAAAATTCTGTTCAAAGCCTTGGTGATCTAATAGTGGCAAATAACTAAAGAGAATGTGTTACCTTTGTTATGTCATCTGCAAATGGTTAGATGTTGTAGTCTCCTTGGGTAATGACAATAAATGTAGGCCCCTTCTGCTTCTCTGTACTAGTTGGTGAGACTCTTGCACTTTTTGCAAAGCCATGAGGAGGGACTGTAGCTCCTGGTATTGTGGTCTCAGGCCTTGTTTCCAAAAATTCTTGAATAAGTGAATAATTTAATTTCAAAAAATTGGAAACTACTCAATGCAATCTGACCAAAGTTCCCTACAAATCGTTGTAAAGTGCTTCTGAGCATATTGAAAAGGAGAATGTACCATATGAATGCATCATCATTACCATTATCATAATGTTTATGATTGTCTCACTTAATTTGCTTTCTGTTACTCCTGTTAGAGAAAATGATGTTGCTGGAATTGATGTAAATATGGGCTGTCCAAAAGATTATTCTTGCAAGGTAAGTGGAGGAAACCATCTTTGAATTTGAGAGGATAATTTGGTTAAATCACCTAAGTTGTTGATGTAAATTGGCCACCATAAGAAGTTTCTGAAGCTGATGTTGTAATGATGTGCCCTTCATCAGAGCAACATCAGCTTTAGAAACTTTTTACAGTTTCTTTAGAAACTTACCCCTTAATTAATTTCAATTAAATAGTTCACTGCTGGCTGGTGATGTTTTCTCGCACCCTATTTTAAGGTAGATTATTGCAACAAAAATGTTTGGTACATGAATGCAGAGCTGGTAGCTGGATTGCTGAGCATTGCAAGCTTGCTGCTTATTGTTTTTGTTTCTGTTTGTCTTTGCAGGGAGGGATGGGTGCAGCATTATTGTCCCAACCAGACAATGTGCACAAGGTCAGTTATACCATCCCATAAATTTCACTTGTAACATTTGTATTGGGTATAATCTTATTACACTGCACTTTTAATCTTTAAGCCTTTGACACCTACATGTAAGAGTGACTAACATCTAATTTCTCTTTACAATATCACCCCTGAATCACACATTGAGGCCATGAGAATAAACAAAATGATCATAAAATAATGAAACACTTGATTTTAAAACAAATTCTCCTTGTCAACGCCTTGGAAAATGTGTAGCGAGCAGTATGGAGAATATGTACATTGTACATTGATGTTAGGTTGTAAAGCCGGGGTTAACTAACATGTCTTTTTACTGGTGGTATTTTTGTGCAGATCCTTACAACCCTTGTGCAGGGAGTGTCCATGCCAGTAACATGCAAAATAAGAATTTTGCCCACTGTAAGTAAACGATGTGAATTTAAATATTGCCTTTCGTACCAAAAGGTGCCTTTTGTTATTGACCTCTGTGGAACCAAACTTAAAGTTGTCGTAGAGCCTAAGAGAACTGAAAGTAATTTCTGTTTTATGTGAAATGGATGGAAGATAACAGTCCTGTGAAATTTAAATTGCGAGTCCTTTGTATTATGGTTGTTAGCGGGCTCAAACTTGAAATTCCTTGAAATTCATTCACGTTTTAGAACTTGAATCTAGGCTCGTCCGTGACTCAAAGTGTTCGAGAATTACGATTCGAGTTTCGAGGAACAACTCTCGAGGATCGAGTTTCGAGGATCGAGACATGCGTCCTTATTCCTTGCTCGTTTCCAGTGTCTCTCCGTTGGGGTTGCAGGAAGAGAGGACCTTAGTTCTCTTATGTCAAGTTTCCCTTCTGATTTTGATGTTTCTAATTTTTTTTTGAGGGTGAAAAATGTTCCGTAACACATTGTCAGTGTCTGTGACTGACTGTGATTTGGCCATCCGTGACTGTTATGTTCACCCTTAAAACAGATAACGATATTTTTCTCAAGCTCATCCAATACTTGCTAATTAACCCGATAGTAATGCCAAATTCTCTCAACTGATTTAAAGGAAAATGTAAAGGAGAACAAGTAGACGGGAGAATCCTTAACAGGACCTTATGTATTATATATTTAAAAATAATTTTTTTTAGTTTTCCTGTCGCCTAACGCGTTGTTTATTTTCGTTCTTGTTTTCTTATTCTTTGTAGATTGAAGAAACAGTTGGTTTTGCTAAAATGGTAGAGGAAACCGGTATCGTCGCTCTGGCTGTTCATGGAAGGTAGGTTGGCCACAGGTATGCAGGGCAAGAACAACACGAACATTTTGTGGTTGTTGCTAGGGCGCGAGGCGAGAAAACTGGGTCAAGTTCATGAACGAGAGGCTTCTGGTAAACTCCTCATAAATTATACTGCGCTTTAGATAAAATTATTTCGGGCAAATCTTTTTCTTAACGGTTTTACTTCACGAAACATTAATTGAAGGTAGAATAAAAGGAAAGCTAAGCCAAGGGAAATTATTAGTAAAGGAATCCTTGTAGCAGAACGATTGCTGAACGGTCAAAGACTATTGTTGTAATTCATGATTTTATTGATATTTTTCTCAGGGAAAAACACGAGCGTTCACGAGATCCGGTGCACATTAATGTCATACGTGAAGTTGCTAAGGCTGTCTCCATTCCTGTAATTGCAAATGGTGTGTCACTACTGGTAAATACGTACAAAGATATTGAAAAATATCGTCAGGAGACAGGTTGTTCGTCAGTCATGTTGGCAAGAGCTGCTCAATGGAATCCTTCAATCTTTAGGTAAAGTTCTCCAAGGTTTTTAGTTCTGAAATGCTTCTTTTTTCTCTTTGCCATTAATTAAACGTACTAATTCACATGTCCAGTAAATATGTAGCTCGGGAATAATTTCGTTGACCTACTTGTGCTCAATGCTGGTGTGTGAACTTTTACGTCTGCAAGCGAGAATGACTCATGTAGCTTCCTGTTTTCACTTCTACATGTGGTGAGGGTAGAAGGCGGAATGAGTATGCAGAATGGCATAATATAATATCTGTGGAATGACGCTAGGGCATAAATTAACATCAGGACAATCTACAGGTGTTCCGCGTAAATTATACTATTCCGTAAGTCATGCCACATGCCGCAAACGCGTTCCGCCTTTAACCCTCACCGTCTCACGTGTGAATGAGAATGGGCTTTGTGAGAGGAAATTGTCTTTCCCAATAAAACAACCGATTAACGGACGAAGATTGAAATCGCACATTATAATTTTGATCCAGAGCAGAAATGTATTTTCCTTTCTAAATTCAATCTTGGTGGTCGGGTCCCGTTTCTAAGAATGATACATGTTGGGTCAAGATTGATCGATCGTACGGCGTAAAGTTTTACTTTGTGTGATCAATGTATTGACCAGATTATTTTAATTTCCAATACAGGAAAGAGGGTTGCTTATCTGCCTCACAAGTGATAACGGAGTATATTAAACTGGTAATGATTCAAAAATTCAAATTCCCTTTCTTCTTGTCGGATACTTTATTCTTGGTTTTAAACCGAAGTTATCATATCCCACCCAGTTTTAATAATAGGTGTGCAATTCTTAGTCAAGTTGTTGCTGTTTTGGGGTGATTCAACCTCCAAATGACTTATGAATCACTGTCACATCGATATCGCTGCTGTGATATGTAAATGACGTGAACAGCGCAAAATCTCAGTCAAAGGACGTTATATTCTTTACATGGGTCATTCCCACTCTTTCAACACTTTTCCGAGGTCATTCCTTACTAACTACTTGCATTAGGCATCCTCTCTGTATACACTTAAACATGTAGCGGTTTTCTGTTAAAAAGCGGAGCCTGTTTGATAGAGGGATAACTCCAGTCGCCGTTCTCTCGTAAAGCGAGCACGACCACCCATCTTCCTTTTCGACTTATCCATTGCATGGAACTGAATTAAGTAAGTTTAGTATTCGTCAAGGTGATGCGTAGCTATACGAACATCCTATAGTGGTGGAGGGATGAAAAGCATCAACATTTACACCGGATATTTATATTCTCCGTCTTTGCAGGCTATAGACTTTGACAATAACTTTGGGAATACAAAATACTGCCTTCAGCGGCTATTGCATGAAGATACAACATCTTCAGAGGCTCTTCAGCTTCTTCATGCTAAAGAAATGCGAGACATCTGGTAAGGGCATAAGAAGAATTTCTGAAGCTTGCTGTGTAGTTGTGCTCAGCATTTGCACAGGATTATTAAAAAAATCCCCTACCAGTATGTGAAAAGCGGAAGTGAAGTGCATTTATATGACGAAGTTTTAATATGTCGAGGAAAGACAAAATGAGTTTCAGTGATACTGCTTGAAAAAGCTTTATGGTTTTAAGGTCAGTTTTGCGACATGCAGTACTACCCTAATAGCGAAGCATGTCACAAAATATTATTTCGGTAAGACAGAAAACACAAACGAGGCAAAAGTAAACCAGGAACGTATATTATTATCTTTATATTATTTTGATTACCTTACCCTATACCTCAACCGACAGATAATTTGACATACTGTCTTAGGCATGAGGAAAACCCATCTTCTACCCCATGAGAGAAACTGACTTTTTTTTACAACCTTGCGAACATTTCCCACTCATTCCCAAATTTTGTTACAAACTTTCTCAGTGAAATATGGAATCTTACCTCATACTTTGATGATGCCGTTCAGAGGAGAAAACATAAAATGGAAACCATGAAAGATGACGAGGTAAGACAGACTACCAAGCTAGGAATTAAACAAATTGATAGTCAATCAGAAATTTAATTCTCCTTTTCGAGGTTGGAAGTAATCAAGAAAACAATATCAGTATGTTCATACTTACCTGTCACTCACGTCTGACAACAAAAGCAGCAGGTAAAGCTACTGTTCATGAAAATTTATGCTCAGTGCCAATGAGCAGCTCGTAATTACATGACTTTGAAACCAAAATAAAAGAAAAACCCTCAAATTATCCTTCCTAAGACTTTAATGATAGGGTTACTCCTATTTTGTCCCACGGTGTCTTTTTTGGTGTCGAATTTTGTCGAACGTAGAATGAGAAGAGGAAACGAAAAAGTTCAGATTCTTCAAGTGAAATAACTGAAATTAAAGTCAAGTATCTCAGGTTAGTAATCGAACCGTGATTTGTTGTGTTTTTGTCAATCGTTGATGGAAAAACAACTTTACTATTTTAAATTAATTCTTAAGCAGTTGCTTTCTTGACTGTCAATATTCATGTTTACCTCTAATTTATTTTTCGTCTTTTTTGTAGAAAAATGTACACAGGTGGTGTCACACCCAAAGGGATCCTTCTGGAGTGGTCAAGGTTTGCATTAAATTTGGTATTTATTTACCTCTCCTGTGAATAGTGTTTAAGCCGCTTAGCGGTTGCTGTTTTCAAGCGATGACGAAATCAAATCTATAATTGTGCCTCGTCGTCTTGAGTGTATTTGAACCCTGATGGGTACACGCCCAGCTTTTCTTTTCTTTATTGAGGGCCATGTTGGATTTGATACTCCAACAAACTGCACGAATCTGTAACCAGATTTTTTTTTAGCGTTATCTAATTGCCTAACTTTACAATTTCATTTCTACACCTGTAGTAGTAGGAGATGTTGTTCAGTTTGGTAGCAGCAATAGCAGAAGCAACAGTTAAAATGAATAATGACAAAGACAACAATGACAAAAAGTAATTTTTTTTCTGCTTTCTTTAGGCGAAACAGAATCAAACAGCCTACATATGAAACCGTAAGTGTCTTCTATAAACCAGTTTTTTGGCCTGGTTTAAAGTTCCTTACTCAGATTTTTCCTCGAGACAAAATATGAATTGGAATGGTTTAACCTTCATTAAATGTACATTCTGCAATAAGGTAAGTTCCATTATTTTAATGATTGAAATTCTTTAGTACATGGACACGAGGTCATGCATAATTTATCACTATTCTCTTTTTTGGTAGATTGAAAGGGAAGAGGATAGATGGTTCAAAAGTGTTGTTCTCGTCGGAGACAAAAAATATTCTTCAACGGAATGGTGGGTGTTCATAAGCAAGTGTCAGTTGTTTCCGCTGATGGGTACTTAAATTTTCATCTTTGGTTTTATTTTACGTGTTGTAAGTGTGGAACACGCGATGGCCTAGGGCGCTGGACTCTGGGTGGAGAGTTCCGGGATCGAGTCCTGGCCAGGTCATTGTGTCGTGTTCTTAGTAAAGATACTATACTCACATGAAGTACTTCTCTTCATCCAGGAATATAGATAGGTATTGCTAATTGTCAGATAAAATGCATCCTAACCAGTAATATCCCTAGTTATTTTATGCTTTGAAAACCGGGGTAAGGTCCTGGCGGTGTGCCGGAGTATTCGGGCGACTAGTTCCGTGTCTCTTTATAAAGCAATATGCTATACTGTGACTGGCTAGTTTTGTATATCAATCGTAGGATGTAGTGAAGGAAAAATCGGTGTAATATCAGATCATATATGATAATCAGATGAGAAGTGGTCTATATAAATATTCTGGTTAAAAAAAATGAGGTAAGCTTCTTGTTATTTTCGTCATAATTGTATCTCTGCAGGGAAGGCAGCAAAAAAGCTGCTGAACAGGCTGCCGCCATTGTTTGTTTACAATCCTTGGGTGTCCACGACGGACGATTGAAGGCGGAGAGCACGTGACATTACCTCTTTCTCCACGGTTCTCCGTGGAATCAAGCTCAAACAAGCCCCGAATGGAATGAAACTGTATGCTCTCTACTTATGTCGGAATGACACATAATTTACATGGATAGAGGTTGCAAACCACAATTCATCCAGTTGTTCATCAAGACTGGCTTGTGTGTTTCAGGCGTATTTTTGTGGTAGGCTCTGTATGGATGTTGGCTGTTCTGTAGAAAACGAAAAAAAATGCAATTGTTGTGCCCCGAAAAAGTCAAAATTTCACTCTCCTGTTTTGTCTGAGTTCGTTGTTAGTTGTCATGAATGTCATTAGTATATACCACCCAGGTGAATGGTGCTTTTCGTGCGCACTGATTGGCTCGTTCGGAAGTGATTAGGAAGTGCACTTCACCTCTGAGCAGCCGCAGAGGCAAAATCGCGCGTCAAGAGTTTAATTTGTGACCAATTTTCGGTGTATTGACAGAAATCCACGAATTTTTCTATTTCAGTTCAGTATATACTACAAAGACACTTCGCTAAGATGAAAGTGTTGAATATTAACCTCCGTTTGTTTGAATAATGGATAATTATTTATTATAGTGTTGCTATGTTGAAATGTGTTTAGTCAGAAATCAAGTCCACTTAACAAGGAAAACTTCACAGTCGGTTACTTACACGAGGTTTAAACAAAATCGTGGTTTTACGCAATCAGTGGGCCTTAGGTTGTACCTGTAGTTAGATCGATTTCATTCACTAAATGTCCTTTCCACTGTCAGCTTTCGTTCCTCGGACACTGTTCACAAAATAAGTGTTCTGATTAAAGGTTCGGCTAAACTGAAGATGGTTTAGAACGCGGTTTTGTTGAAAAACGGCTAACGTTTGTTTGAATAATCAGACCATTGATTCCTACTTTGCAATTTTCCCGCATTTTTTCAATTATGATGTCTCCGTTTTACCAGACAAATAACTTTTGATTTCCCCTTTTCGTTGAAGGCAACTTTCTATGTCAAGACAAAAAAGGAAAATTTCGTCACGTAGCGTAAACGTTGGCTGTTCGTTAAAATACATATGTGCATAGGCTTCGAAGCTGTCGGCAAATGGTGCTTTTTAGTTAAAAAGAAGACAACGACATTGATCTCATATCATGCCATCAAGGTGCGGACTCCAAAATGAACGAAAGCAAAGGTTATCTTGTTTTGTTAAAGAAGGTGTGCTTGAAATTTCGTGCAGAGAGAAATCAAGCTTGGACATTTTCTAAGGTATTCTGTCGGATGGAATTAAGTTACACTCAACATAGCCATTAGTCTTTGAAATTGTTTGTTAAACTGGGTTAAACGGTGTAAGCGAATGGTTTGAGGCAGAGCAACATGGCCAGAGGTTGGAAAACGCCATCGATAAGAAGCGTCGGGAAGAAGTCATCGTTCTAAAATATGACCGCTGAAATAAAGCAAAATAATTCAAACTGCAGAGTTGGCTCAGAGCCAGAACACTTTTGCAGCCGTTTCAATGCATTTTTTTTTTTTACATCGTTTATGTCTTCTCGCTTTGTCTCGCTGGGAATCATGCTTGGACATTTTCCAAGGTATTCTGTCGGATGGAATTTCGTTCACTCGATATAGCCATTAGTTTTTGAAATGTTTGTTAAACTGGGTAAAACGGTGCAAGCCAATGGTTTGAGGCAAAACAACACGGTCAGAGATCAGAGAACGCCATCGAAAATAGGCGGGAAGAACCTATTGTTCTAACATGTGACTGCTGAAACAAATCAGAATAAAGCAGAGTCTTTTTTTTATATCTTTTGTCTTCTCGTTTAGCGTCGCTGGAAATCTTTTCAATTCCCTCGAGGCTTGTTTTAATTGTATATGCACATAGCTTTTGAAGGAGACCCTTGTTCGAGTTCGTTATGATTAAAAGCAAGTCGATCTTAGAAATCATGGAAAAAATGACGTAACAAATGTTTAAAACCCTGCATAAGGGACAAGAGACTCATTTGCGACGTCGTCTCTACGATTTAAGGGTTATATTATGGGAGGTTAGATCGATTTACTAATTCAATATTGACCGTAGAGTCAAAATTCCTGAACTAAAATCAAAAGCACAACAACCAGTCATTCGTCGAGCGGAGCAGTATCCATCACGTGTAACATGAGGGCTTTCATTTTTGCAGGTTCGGTGGATATCTATAAGATTAAGTCAGGTTTCGCAGCGAGTAGTCCAGCAAAATGAAATGCTGCACAAATCTACTTCCTTCAGCTTCAGAAGTTATCCAGATACGAATCAAGTGTTACTTCATTTTCTTTGTATCACGGCATGCATAGAATATATCTATCGTGCCCTTCTGTTGACACAGTTTTCTGATCTGATGAACTTGGATCAGAGGAGAAGTAAAAATCACTTACTGATGTTGATAATCTTTTATTGTAAGAAAAGGCATAATATGTGCTTGTAACCCTTTAAGATGATCTTTTTGACCAAATTATATTCTACCAAGGAATACATCTACTTGTATGCATTACAAAAAGTTCTGTGGAAAGCCCAATATTCTGTTTGTATGACAAATTAACGTCCTCATTTTTTTGAGGGATGTTTGTTTGTTTCTCTCTGTATATTCAAGGCTTTCTTGGAACTCAAAGGGTTCAAAAAAAGTGTCCAAGCTGTCCATAAGGAGGTCGCATATTCCAGCTGGGGCTGTGTAACATTCCAATATGTGGTTCAAACGGTGAGGACTGGCCAGACAAACGAAAAGGAAAAACTAGCTCAGGAACGCTACGATAGCTATACTCACCATTCACGAAAAGATAGGGAGGCTGCGGTATCTTGCGTTTAGAAAAATCTCCTCGAATGAAGTCGGCCAAGAATCTTGGATGTATCTGCCAGTAGCATCCACCTTTCTCATAGGCAACTTGACCTCTCTGAAAACATTCATGCAGTGACAGATTATGGCGGACTGTGTTCTTCCATCGCGCTCTGTTTTCAGTGAATTCAGGAAAGCGTTCTTGGATGAAGCTGTAGATCTCCGATAGCGTTCTTTGCCCTCGTGGCGAGTCGAGAATAGCATAAGTAATTACCTCGACGTAGGACAAAGGACACGAATTCCTCTTACGCTTTTGCTTCTGTGGTTCTTTTGGGTGAGAAATGTTCTTTTCCTTGCTTGATACACCGGGTGATTTGTGGAAGCTCTCTGCTTGATTCGCTTCCTTTGTACTCTTCATGATAGCCTAACAGTGAAGCTTCGATGGGGAAGGAACCTAACAAGATCAGTTCAAGCTTTTAACAACTACAGAACGAGAGCTCTTGCACCCTGTATTTGTATGATCATGTCGCGAATAAGAGAACTGCCGACTTGAATGATTGGTTGTTGCGTTTATCGTGATGATTGCTGTCCATCATGACTCATCCTCTTGTACATAATTGGTGTTTTTTTATTAAATCACTCGCACAATACTACTCTTTCGATCTGATTCTCCCAAGCAACCACAAAGCGCTTCTTTACTGGCCGTCCTGAAATCTGGTGTTGCACTTAAACAATATCATTGGTTGATGACTCTCTATCTTCTTATTACCTGCCCGATTGGCATTGTATTGAAACTTCAAGGGCGCTCCTCGTACTCAACACCCCTGAGAGTAGTACAAGGGTGAGGCAACTTAACACAAGAAATGGCTTGCATTTATACATATAGCTTTCAAAACGAACTCAAAACAAAACTTAAAATTTCTTCGAATATATAGATATTTTGATGTTAAATGACAATGAAAGCGAAAAGTTTGGCAAAGACAAATGGTATGAATATTTTAAAACGGCCATTAGCGTATGCTACAGCCATTTCCGTTTCCTTCACTAAGGAGCGGATAACGTGTCTACAAGTGCCCGCCGTTTTACCATGCGCGTGCAGTAGAAAAATGTTGAAAAACAAGTTCAAGCTTAATAATCAAGTTTCTTTTGTATATTCATGGGAACGATATCTTGCAAGGATTTTTTCCCTCGAATGCTTTTAATAAATAAATACCAAATACTTTCACTGATGCATAAATCTTATCTAGAAATTTGAAATACCAAGAGAAATGAGCATTGGTCCGATGTCTCACAGTTGTGATAGGACAAAATGGAATAAACTGCAAATCTTTCACAATTTTAAACCAAAATTAATCATTTCATTGTGATACCTTGGTATCTCGATCATCCTCGCGCTTTCTGGTATTGTGAGCGGCGCAATAGTGTTTGTATATAAGGTCTGCTACAGGTTTTCACCAAATTAGATCGCCATGGCATAATATCCTGTTGATGATGGGGTTTTTAAAAATAAAGGCTTTCAGAAGTTGAAACAAAAGCTTTAGGTTTCTATCTGTTCAAAAAATCGGCTATCATTAGTTCGTTTGTTGTTGTGTTTTTTTTCGAATGAATAAATTCGCGGATTAAAGTGTGTGTTTTAGTTTAATTTACAAATGGATTGTGGGGTTTTGTGGATCAGTGATTATGGCGTATTTGTTTTGGTTTAATTTACAAATGGATCATTTCCTATTTTGTGGTTTAGTGCAATCAATTTAAATAATTGTAGCCTTAGTGACAAGGTGTCTAGGTATGTCTAGCCAACAAACCGTCGCACCCCTGCATTCAAAATTAACAAGAGCTTTCGACGAAGTGTGTCAATTTGCCGCCGTTAGATCCCAACAGAGAAAGTTGCTAATTTTTTCAATATTCAAACTGAGTGCTTTGCATTCAAACAGCTACAATTTCTTAAGGAACAAAGAATAGAGTTCCTAACATGTCCGAGGGTAAAGGAAGTCAGCAATGCGTGAAAATCTCAAGTAACGGGCCATCAACACGCACAGATCAGCCAATTAGCTTCTGCAGCAGACGAGGCTTGAATAACAACACACTTATTTGTCGCGATAATTACAAAAGTAACCATTAACTATATCACGTTCGTGCTTTCCACAAGAATGAAGCCACATGTTAGCAATATGGACGATAATGAAGTAAAACGTGACCCTTCAACCAAGATGATACTTACCATAGATTATCACGTTTGCTACATTTCTTCTAGTTGACTTGCAGGACTATGGCTTTTTTTCTGTTTAAGAAAGTTTATGAAACTTGTTTCTATGAATGTAAGGGGTTTTGGACGAAGTTGATTGCTTTAGTAGACCCCACATGTTTTGAATTGTACCAGGTATTATGAAAATCGGTGCCCTTAGCCATTGCATGTGGAAATTGGACCGAGTAAAGAAATGTCTTTTTTAACACTCACAAACTCAAAGTAAGACGATGACTGTAACTGAAACTGATCTTGTAAGAGTAAATGCCAAGTTAAAAGAGCATCGCACCGACGTCTTAAAGTAAATGATAAAGCCGAATAAGATCAACTGCAGAACTATTACAAACTATACCAAATTTTATCATATGATTTCGATGTCTTAGTCACATGACCATGGTTGGTGCTCACGTGTGTTGCGAACTCTCTATTAACTTTTGAATATGGGGTCTGCAACAGTTCCTTAGATCGCCATGTCTAATGTCATGTATATAGGGGCTTTGAAATGAATGCTTTTAGAGATTAAAACAGAAAAGTAGTTTTTGTCTTTTTTTTTTCTACATGGACACCTTAAAGACTTTGGAAAATTAATCGTCTGTCACGAAGTACACCTTTCGCATGTCATGAACACGAGAGGAAAAATCCAAGTTCGCTTCCACAGAGTAAATAACATCGTAGGGAAAACGACCTCACCAATAATTGTTCATTTGAATCATCCGTTGTTTCATTCGCGTAGAAAGCCTTTTCAAGGACGTTAGGCATACACTCCGCAATAAAAGGATGTGAAGACAATGAAGATCCATGCTTTCGCATGGAAATTGCGCAAATTATCAACACATGATAAAAATGAACACTACTTTCTCCCTGAGAATGTTTCATTAATAATAGACACTCAATTGACTTTATTTTCCGTTAATGAAGGGCAAGATGTCTTAAACAAGCTTATCAACATCTGCATCATGTAAACGATGAAATTTGTGATTGTTTACAGAAGATAAGTGGACTACCAAGTGGAAAGTTTTTCAGCGCGGTATTCCTATCAGCAGCGAAAATATTGATTAGAAGTGGAAATGAGCAATCGATGTCCAGGTTAAAATAAGGAGACTGGAGTAAATTTCAGAGGTAATTCAGGCTGATTTCGTATGATACAACTGCCAATTTCTATGAAAATGGTTTTGAAAACTGTCGCATGACCCGTCCAATAACTTTTATTTGAGATTCAAAATGGTCAATTTTGCATATATTGTTTCTAATCTAATCATATTGGCGATTTCTGTCGCGCAAATCAAAGCAACTTTAATCGTTCCTAAGTTGAAACTCCGTGCGAGTGAACTAACCAATCCATTTTATCAACACTTTTCATAGTCTACTGTTACTACAAAGATAGAGCCATTGTTTTCATTCTCTTTTTTGCTAACGGGAGCTTCTAACTTTCCAGTTGCTCGAGACCATCCTACTCTTTTTCAAGCATGCGGTTATTCTCCTTTTCTTAATTGAGTTCTGTCTTTGTAAGTAGTTGGGGAAAATCTCTGTTCTTTGCATGAAATTTGCACTGGCCGTTTTACTACTCAACAAGGCCGTCCGCTTTGTGTCAGAACTAAAAGAAATTTTTTTTTCATTTGTTATAACCGAACGTTTTCATATTTGAGAGGATTTTTTTAACTTTCTATTAGCATTTTTCCTTCGGGCACACTTGCCTTTCGCTAACCACACAACTTTTTGTGTTGCGTTGTTTTGTCTTTTGTTTCACCTTTTAATTGTTTTTGTCTTTTTGTCTCTTGTTTGAGAAACATTGAAAGAAATGTGACCTTGTTAGAAATTTGTCACATGCTAGGAAACCGGTCGAATATGATAATATGGGAAACAAAGTGCACACCTACATTTGCCTCGCTGTTTACATGTGGCTTCGCTACATGTTGGTAATGACACTCCATAAATGTCTCGGAGGCGCCGGTTCGAACCGTGTAAAAGCGTTAATTTATTCACGATTCTTATTCCACAATCAAAAATGATTCATTTCATTTGTTTGTGAAACCTTCCTTTAACAATCTCCTTCTGGTAGAAAGAGCAACCTCGGAAATCACATTTGTAGTGGAGAGGAGTGTTGTCAAACTGATATATTTGGAGAGTAAGAAACTTTTTCGAGTGAGAGATTAGATTACTTTTATTATCAAGATAAAATGTAATTGACTGTATTTACGGCTATGAATACACTCTCTGAAACCGTTCAGAACTACGCTAAAGGTATTTTCCATAAATCATATCCATATTAGGGCAAAAAAACTTAATCAAGATAAACATTTGTTGATATTCATCCAGTAATCTAAAATGTGGGTTTATTGAATGCTTGCGAGCCATATTTTTTTAGTTGAACAACGAATTTTTGTGTGCTTTTTAAAGCAGAGCGGTTTTTAATGGGGTGTCGAAAGTAATCAGGGATTGCTTTGGATTTCCCTCACTCCGCTCTATGATTAGTCCAAAGAACTCGCGCCATATACTCTCTCAACCAATCAGATACAAAACTAAAGCCAATCACGACTTGGTCACCCGTGTTCTCCCGCGCTTTGGGCAGTTTGCGTGGTTTTACTTTGAGTTCTCTTTGGTTTTTAAAGGTATTTTCTAATCTTCTGATTGGTTGATGTGATAACGCTCTATGAGCCAGTAATCATCCATTGTCATACACTTACATCGTTTAGACAGCAAACAAACTAAAATTGACCATCTTTTCAGAGATATTTGCACTTTCAAAAACTGGCTACCTAACTCATTCTCCTCTAACTAATAAGAAAAACGGTACCTGTTACTTTCGCTTGGCGTTTTTTACTACCACTATTATTTGGGAAAATGATTAAAATCCTCAGAGGATTTTTTTTGTTTTTGTTGTTAAAAATCTCTTAAAACACTAATAAGCTAAAACATATCCTTGCTGCTGAAGTTTTTCAGTTTCAGTCAGGCACCAGCGCATCCCTATCAGAAAGAAAAATATGACACTGTTTAATGATTAAAGCTTTGATATATTTCCATAAATGCGGTCCCGGGACTTCTAAGTCTTCCGTGTCATAAACTGGAAAATTTCCAGGTGAGTGTCGGAAGTAACTGGGTTTGCTTCGGTTGCGCCGCTTTCCTAATATACCACATTCTCACGTCTCGGGCAGTTCGCTGTTTGTTTGCTTTGAGTTGTCCTGGGTTGCCTGTGATATTTTCCTTTGTTCTGATTGGCTATTGTATTACTTAGTTCGCTTTTTGTTTTACGACTCTCGATCGAAAAGCGCACTATTGTTACGAGTAAAATTACCTATTCTCATCAACTTAAGTTTTCTTCGCTGAGGAGTTGGTAACCGGATGATTTACTGAAGCGAAAGAAGGAAATCAGGAAAAAAATTGTTATTTGGATCTGGGCCCAGTTGTTCAGGAGGTGGTAACGGTATCCAACGGATGAATCGCTATCCAGCGGATAAGTGACAACAAAATGTACCGCAGTATACACCGGAAAGAGATTTACCCTGCGTTTAGCGTTATCTACTCCGCGGACAACCGGGGCCAGAAAAACAATATACAGTTAGAGATCTACAGTTAGAGAGTTAGAGATCTGGGTATCATAAGATGACTTGATCAATACATTTTAGTGAAGACCATAGTCCTAAAAGATCTGGAATACAACAAATGAATTAATGGTTGGTGAGTCAGTGCGCCAAGAAGTATTTGGTTTAGACGTTTGTCTTTACAAACAAACTTTGTTTTATATTAGATATTTACCGATCATCGTATATTTTGTTCACTGCATAGTTTAATTCATCGTTCCCCCTGTAAGGCAGAAAAAAAGTGTGGATAGCGTACGTGAATAACCGAGATGACGACTCTTAAAAAAGCAGGTTTACAACTGACAGAATACCAAATCAATCAGCACCAGTATTCGTTTGAGGAGTAAAAAATGATTACCGAAAAAACCAGTACTTGCATATTAAACAATATACAGTTAGAGATCTGGGTATCATAAGATGACTTGATCAATACATTTTTGTGAAGACCAAAGTCCTAAAAAGATCTGGAATACAGCAATTGAATTAATAGTCGGTGAGTCAGTGCACCAAAATGTATTTGGTCTAGACGTTTGTCTTTACAAACAAGGGAGCAACAACAACAAAAAAAACTAAATGCGATTTGTACTCACGTCTGAAATGCAACTGCGTTGATGTCCACATTCTTTTGACCTCTCCTATTTAAAAACAAGTTTATTGGTTCACATCAAAGGAACAAAAGGAAGGGTTTTATCTTCATGATATGTTAACATCATTCGAACGTCTAAGTGTATTTTACTAAATTAACCCTGCCCATTTTTTTGGTACCATGATATGATAATTTTTACATTCGTTAGACATAGTAGGTCTTCCCGTCAAGTAGTTTTTTTCTCACCTTTTCCAGTAAAAGAATACTCCCAATGCTACGACGGCGATTAAAATGATTACCAAGGGTAACACCACAGCAAGTACCTTGACGCCTATCAAAGGATGAAAAGCATCCGTCAGTAGGACTACCAAGTTGAGGGAATTGGTTTTCCTCGTAGCTCATAAAGAAAGAGCAACTAGGAAAGACTGTTTCGTCATGCCACGAAAATAAGATAGGAAGGTATTATCAGACCTCTTCACCTTACCCTGCTTGATTTTTAGCCCACCTTAATCATCTTGAAAAATGCTAAATACAGTAAATTCGTGTTTCTCGAACGCATTTAATTTGTCTGCACTGAGGTGTATTTTTCCTCGAGACTGACCTGGATCAACCTTTCTTCCGACCAAAATTCTGAAACTATGGACTATAAAGGCGACAAAAAAAAACTACAATGTCCCTTTCGACAAAATGGTGGTAGGGTGATGACCCTAGATGATAAAGGAAACAAATAATAGGCTATTGAGTGACATCAGAAACCTAGGCAAGCTCTTGGGCCAGTGTTTTGAAAAAAAAAATTTAACACATTTTGGTTTTTTGGTCAAGTCAACCTTGGTCTCCATAATAGCTACTCGTTAAGAGCAGTTAATGCTTTTCAACATTTAACTACACAAGGTTCAACCTTCGCGATGACTCAACCTGGGTTTTTCGCCAACCTGGGGTGATGTAAAGAGACTCGTATAGTTCCAGCTGTAACTATCTTTTTAGTTTCGTCCAATACCACCTTAGCTTAACCATTCGCATGCTCTTTGTGCAATCACAGTCAACTAGATCCTTTTCTGCCTTATTCTACATAAGTCCAACCTCTTTTTTCATTGAAATAAACTTAAAAAAACATAAAACGATGATGATCAAACTTGTAAACTCCTAAACAAGAGTAAGTGAAAGAAATATTAATTATGCCGCATAGTTTCAATAATTTCTTTTGCGGTGGTTGTTGGGTCGCCATACGCAACTTATGAAGTTTTCTCAACGCGTCGGATGACGAGACAACACAACGATTAGAAAACAATTTCAGCGGCACCTTCTTTTTTCTTGTTTCCTTGTTGCGCTCCGAGTATTCCCCCTTCTTTGTCTGTGTTAGCTTCTGTCGTCATTTCTGATGGTGGTACAGTTGGCGAACCAGCAAACACTATAAGGTCAAATAAAGTTTCAAATTCCAGTTTCTGGTTTTCCTCCAAGTAAATGAATCGAAACATGCACAGGAACTCGCCGTAACAGCACGACGCCGGGGGAACCTAATGAAATGAAGACTAATTCGAGCAAACTTTTCTCATCGCAAAACAAATATATTTAAAAGGGAGGAATGAGATCTGTTTTAATTATTGTTGCATCCTGTTTGGGATCGCTGGCGACACTGACTGGCTCTCAGAAGTATCGTGTATACAAGGTTCACACTAGTTTTTCCTCTGAATGAAAAACTAAAACAGAGAAACTACAAATCAAATTGTAGAAAAAGTAAAATGATGTAAGAAGTGTGAGAGGAAGATTTAACATTCGTGTAATGTAATTTTGGTCAAAAATGATAATCAGTGATTTTAAATCGATCACGTGCTACCCGTTCGTTCGATTTGAACTTCAGCCTATTCAATTACCTTTATGAAATTGAGTGCATTTTGAAATTAAGTGCATTTTGAAATTGACTGGCAGACTAATTAGCTATTGCACACTCTATCAGGTATCGCACCCAATTTGTCTCGACGAGCAAAAGCGGTTACTATACCTGAGCAGCCGTAGATTTCCACCCTCATCGATATATGATTATGCCACTCAACAGGCATCAGGCGAATGTAACGTGCTGTTATTAGTGGACTGAGTATGTTTTTTACAACTGTGTCACTGTCCTGATTTCCATAAAATACCTAATGTTGAGACAGTAAAGGCTTTAAACGGAATCCATAAATGGTCAGTTTGCTGGGTAACTTTCTATTGCATAACCAAGGCCCATGAAAGAACTCTTACGTTCGGTTTAGCATTGTATGGCCTACAATTAACTGCTATACATAAAATAAGCACTTAAGTCAAAATGGGGTCAAGCGGCTAACCTCTCTGATCTCTTCAGCAGTAATCATACCTTTGCAGAACTGTCTTCTGTTGCATTATAAAATTCAAAAGTCACTCCGTCACTGCTATACTGTATGAGGTATCTGGACACCCACTGGTTGTTCCCATTCATCCCCTGAGTCGCAACACCTGTCAATCGAGAGTTATCACCGATATCCACTTGAAGCCACTGATTGAAGTTATTGCTCATGGCAGACCATCCCCCTCCCATGTTCCCGTCTGCTTTCGAATTTAACCTTGCTTCCTTTGCACCATGATCCTCATCCATTTGGGAGGATACCCTTATGTTGGCAACAGGTATTTCTTTATTCTCCATACCAAGTGCTGCAGCACATCCTGTGTTTGAAAAAAAATATATATTGTTTTAAAAGTTAATATTTTGGATCGTTTCAATATAGCAACACATTAGAATAACCTTCCAAGAACAAGATTCTGCTTAGTTGGTTAAACAGC